TTTTTTTTTCCAATTTCAGCTTTCTGTCGCGACCGAGACAGAAATTGCGAGTGGTGGAAGTCATTTGGAATGTGTGAAAATCACGGAAGAAATTCCTCCATGGCCGTTTACTGTGGAGTGACCTGCGGCTTTTGTAAGTATAAATGCAAACTGTTTCAGTTAGATTTTTTTCTTTTATAGCCATAAATAAAAGGTTAAAGGAAAAGGCCGTTAAGAGAAGTAGTCGTTGCGAAGAGGTAGCGATCTGTGGATGTGTGGATACCTGCCTAGAGGGCGGCAAATTGCACCCGAAATTTTTGGCAATATTCTATAAAGGTGCTTTCTTTGGGAAGTAACACATCAAATAATTAGGACGGATTATTAAAAAAAAACCCAAAATAATTGAAAAATGAATCGTTAATGTGTTCTGTTGTTCATGTATCTACTTCTTTAATTATAACTTAATTTGTGTTGATATTTTGTTTTCCTTCCTTCAGGCAAAGCACCTACCCCAGAGGGTAAGATTAAACGGAACAACATCAGTATCTGGGCAACTGCCCACCTACCCCTCCCTTAACCCAAAATTAACCCTAACTTGTTATCAATTGACTTTTGTTGAGTTAGGGGAAGGGCAGGTGGGCAGTTGCCCAGATACTGATATTGATCCGATTAAACACTGTTTGTCACATAAAGGATGAGGTCGAAATAGCCTTAAGAAGCTGGTATTTTATGAAACAATCTTCCAGCTTATGGGGAGACTGCAATATTATTCTATTTTTCTTTTTAACGATAAAAAATTGCGATAAAAAAATTTCGTAAAAGCATATTAAAAATATGTCGACGACGTTTCGACGTTGGGCTAACGTTATTATCAAGTCAAAGAGCGAAAGATAAAAATTGTTTAAATACTAAAAAGATAATATGTAATGGAATGTTCTTTTAAACAAAGAGTTTTGCGCGAATCGGTCTGCGTGTTGAGACAAGGATTGGGCTGCTTGATGAAAGGCATCTCATAGACAAGACAGTAAAGTTTTCCTTGGCACTTTTTTAGAAAGCGGAATTGGCTTTCTTTGAGGAGGCTTGTATCCCCATGGGCTGTCGAAAAGTGCTTACCGATCGCAGAGTTTTTATGTTCAACAATACGTTGACGGAGGTGTCGAGCTGTAACGCCGACATAATCTGAATCACACAGAT